AATTAAAAGTTTTGTGCAGTTGTATGACTTGATGAAAATATTTGGCCACCTGGTATGTGAGTATATAGTTAGCGTCCCTTAAAAAGCAATAAACATAAAATCTATCAGTATGACCCTCAAATTTAGAGATGTTTGGGGAGATCAAAGCATGTCTTGGGGCATCATAAAAAGGACACCATATGAGGACATGGGCAAGAGTTTCTACCTCCCTGGATCCACAAGGGCAAAGTCTCTGTAAATAAGGAGTCCCATGAAATCTTCCCACCAGCAGTTTGAAGGGGGGGCATCAAAGTGAGCTCTAGAAAAGTCCCATCTATATTTGCTTACAGTTAGATTGTATAGATGTCCTCATTCTTTCTTTTACTATTGATTTGGCTTTCTCAAGGGTTAATTGGCCTAAATATTCAGGAGAGAGCCCAAGACTGCAAAGTTCTTCTATACAGGTATGGTGCCAATGAGATTAGTAGCTGTCTGACAACAGCAGAGGCATCAGGCCTGTAGGGTCAAACATGATTCTGAGTCCTGAGATTAGAATCCTGGTCCAGTCCTGGGCCTTAATATTGCCATGTTAGCTTCAAGCCTCAAGACTGCATTGGGGGTACATTTTGGGATATTGAACAAAGTCCTAAGGATTGAAAGGTTTCATAAGCCCTTAGATTTGTATATGGACCACATTGTATCCCATATAATAGTTGGGCAACTGTTTTAGCCATGAACAGTTTGATTCCTGCTGGAATGTAATTTGCCCCCTATTGCCTATAAAATTTAGTTATTGCTAGTGTGCTCTTTTGGGCAGTAGAAGTGGCATCATTTACCTGGGCTGTTAATTTCCTAGAGGCCTGAAATACTATGCCCAAGTATTTAAAATATTTGACTTGCTATAATTCATGGAAATCAATTGTTCACTTGTGCCTTCATCTTCTGTTGGAAAAAACTAAACTTTAGATTTATCATAGGTGATTACTAATTGTTCCTCATTACAGTAGGATGCCAGAGTTCTTAGTGCCCGCTTCATGCCTATAGAAGACAAGGGGAGAAGAACTGCATCGTCAGCATAGAGTAGAATTGGGAGATGTCTATCAGCTAATTTAGGCGCATGGACATCAACTTTCTGAAGAGAGTTGATATATATATGTTAAAAAGCAATGGTGCTAAAATACATTCTTGTTTCACCCCCTTGACATTCTGGATAAAGTCAGAAAGGTCACCTCCCTGGTTACATCTTACTCTAAGGCCAGTTTTATGGTATAGCTTATGAATTAGGAGCAAGAGTCTTTTGTCTATAGGGGATCTGCTCACAATGTCCCAGAGTCTAACCCTTGAGATATTATCAACAGCTGCTTTGAAATCAGTGAAGGCTGCATATAGATTCAAGTCAGTGGTTTGTATATTTGTCTGCCAGATGTTGAAGCACTAGGCAGTGGTCTGTAGTGGATCATCCTGGTTTAAACCCTGCTTGCTCAGCGTCAATTATTCCCTCATCTAGTACCCAGGTTTGGAGTTTGGTGAATAGGTACCTGGCATATAGCTTGCTAATAATGTTCAATAAACTGATTGGCCTATAATTAGCTGGGACATTCCTATCACCCTTTTTAAGTCCTCTGAAATCTTAGCTGTGTGGTTAATGTATGAAAAGAAAGAGGCCAATACCGGGGCCCACCAATTTGAATTGGATTTAATTAGCTCAGGGGGGATATGGTCATTCCTGGGGGCTTTACCACACTTAAGCTGGTTAATGAGATTTTTAACTTCCTTGCATGTGACTGGGGCCACTGTGGTAGTGAGGATAAAGGTACATCCATCACATAGGTGTTAGCATGTAGATCGCAATAAAGGGCTTGGAAGTGATGTACCTAGGTACTTGAGGGGATGCTTCAATGCAATTGTATAATGCCATTATGGGAACAATTTGTTATACAGGTAATCCTTGACTTACGATGTCAGCCTCTCAAGTAGACCAGAGAGGAAACACGACAACTAATTCTACTTTGTTGTAAGGCTACATTAACAGAATCTTGGAAGTCTGAAAGTACAAATTTCCCACCGTCTATTTTTACTGCCTGAAAGTTAGGGCAGATCCTTTTCCAAGGAGAGTAGGGGCCTGCCAGATCTCTGGGGGAAGGGTGTTCCACAAGGCAGAGGCTGCTATGGAGAAGGTGCACTTCCTAAATCCTGCTAGATAACATTTAAGAGAGGGGACCCTGTCTGACCTGGTGGGATGGACAGATAACCTCAGGGATAGGTAGTCCTGCAAGTAAGCTGATACCATGCCATTTAGGGCTTTAAAGGTGATACCAGCACTTTGAATTGCATTCAGAAACTGGAAGGCAGTGCAGCTTGTACAGCAGCAGTTTAACGTGGGCAGACCATGGAGCACCCAGAACTATGTGCATCACTGCATTCTGTACCAGTTGTAATTTCTGGATGGTCTTCAAGGGCAGCCACATGTAGAACAAATTACAGTAATCCAACTGGGAAGTGACCAAGGCATGAATGAGTATGAGCAAGGTCCAGGAATAGGCCAGATTGGTGCATAAGATGCATCTGTGCAAAGGTGCCCCCAGTCATAGCTGCCACCTGCTCCAGGAGGACCCCAAGTTGTGCACCAGCTCTGTCCAGGGAAGTACTGCCCTGGAAAGAGTCAAAGATGATATATCTCTAGACCCAGAAGGACCAAAAACCCAAAGCCACTTCATCTTGCTAAGGTTGAGTCAAAGCAGTCCCTCCCCAGCCTGCTGGCACATGGCCAACACAGGTTGGAGATTTATAGCTAAGTATAATCAGGATATTAATCATACCACATCCCATGCTTCTAAATGACATATGCCAGCAGTCTTATGTAAATATTAAAGAGGAAGGGTGAAAGACTTGAGCCTTGAGGCACACCACATTGCAGGAACTGATCTATTCCCCTCTCAACACTGACTGGAACCAGCTATAGAAGAACCACCATAAAACAATGCCACCCCCCACTCCCAGATCTGGTCCAGAAGGATACCATGGTTGATGGTATCAAAAGCCACTGAGAGGTTCAGGAGTGCCAGGACAGATGGAATACACCCATCCCGAATCTTCCACGGTCATCCAGTGCTATAACTCAGCCAGAACCCTATCTGAAAAGGGCCCAGATAATTAGTTTCATCTAGGACCCTCTGAAGCTGAGTATCTACCACCCTTTCAACAACCTTCCCTAAAGGGAGGTTGGAGATCAGATTAAAGTTATTTAACATGGTAGGGTCCAAGGATGGTCTCTTGAGTGGGATGTACCACCCCTCTTTCAAGGCAGGTGGCATCAGTCCCTCCCTCAGGGAGGCATTAATCACCACTTGAACCCAACTATTTGCCACCTCCTGGGAAGCCTTAGGGCCAAAGCACAGGTGGCAGAGTTCACAGCCCCAAAGACCTTGTCCTCTTCCTTGGGAGCAACCGGCTCAAACTCTTCCCAGATAACCAAGCTCAGCCCTGTCCTGGTCTCTTCCAAAGGATCTGCCCAGCCAGTGCCCAGCTATATAGTTGGTAGATAATGAATTAGGGAATAAATCAAAAGAGATGACCCTGCTTATTCAGGTAACAGGATATTCAAGAAGTAGTTTAGCTTAAGATCAGGCTACCCTAGGTTTTTGGATAGACTGGTACTGGATGCCATGGCTTTCCAGGCCAATTTGTGGCTCCCATAGAACCTGAGAGTATCCTGGAAAAATTTAGCACCACTGGCAGCAACTTTTTGTAGTGCAGCTTTTCTTGGTTATGGTCCAAACAGCCATTTCTAAACTCAGTCAAGGCCAACTCACTATAGACAGAGCCAAGTAAAAGCTTGAAAAACCCAAAATGCAGAATGAATCTCAATCTCAATCTCTCTCTCTCTCTTGCAAATTCTACTTTAACTAACTTATTTCTTTTCTTTCAATGTTCCCATCTTCACAAAAAAGTCATAAAACACAGGTAGTCCCCAGGTTAAGAATGCCCAGTTTACGGACAACCTATAGTTAAGAGTGGAGCCTATTGTATCAAAATTTGAGTTAAATACATAATGATTCAAGTTAAATATACAATGGTTTGAGTTAATTACACAATACTAGTTATACAGTATTATGCAATAATACTGTTCCAGCTTACATACAAATTCAACTTAAGGACAGA